GGCCAAAGAATCAGAGGCCACTAGTAAATCAGAATGGAATGCAGGGTCTAAGAGTTAGTTCCAAATGGTCAGCATCAGTGCTTCCCAAATTGTAGAAGTCATGCAGAGTTGGCCAGACAGTCACCATCTTGATCTGACGAGTAATTTAGTTGGTGTGGCAAGGCATGGGGACCACTTATTTGGTGTTGGGGAACATATCTATACAGTGTCTTTTTACAAATTCCCTGTTCCCATGTACTGAGATTCTGGGAATACTTGGGGAAAAGTGGATAATTCCTCTATACATGACTGTGGGAAGACCCACCCTTTGTGAATGTCAGTTCTCTGAAATCTTTCCTGTGGGGAGGCCGTGGAAGATTTTTCACTTCTGGCTGTTGACGGAGAAAGTAATAGCAGGCAAATGGTTTGCAATGTGAATTTAAACTAATTCTCGAGATGAGTCACAAAAGGAATTTATCATCATTATATTACTTTGTGGTAACTGGCCCATTATCCAAAAAACAGGCAAATATTTTCTAAATGAAAAATGCATCTCTTTACAGTTTTTCCAAAAGCAGTAATTTATTTATACTTTAAGAAACGGTACTGCTTTCCTTCTTTTTTACTTGTAATATTGAGCTTATATATATATATTTTTTTCTTTTTCATGTTGAAAGTTCTTAAGAATTGACCATAATGTATTTTTTAGACTTTAATTTATTTATTATAGTTGGAGGCTAATTACTTTACAATATTGTGATGGGTTTTTCTAAACATTGACGTGAATCAGCCATGGGTGTACACGTGTCCCCCATCCTGAACCCCCCTCCCACCTCCTTCCCCATCCCATCCCTCTGGGTCATCCCAGGGCACCAGCCCCGAGCAGCCTGCCTCATGCCTCGAACCTGGACTGGTTCTGTTTGTTAGCCATCTGGAGAAATGTCTGTTTAGTTCTTTGGTCCATTTTTTTCACTGGGTCGTTTATTTTTCTGGAATTGAGCTGCATGAGCTGCTTGTATATTTTTGAGATTAATTCTTTGTCAGTTGCTTCATTTGCTATTATTTCCCCCCATTCTGAAGCCTGTCTTTTCACCTTGCTTATAGTTTCCTTCACTGTGCAAAAGCTTTTAAGTTTAATTAAGTCCCATTTGTTTATTTTTGCTTTTAGTTCCATTACTCTGGGAGGTAGGAAGAATTGACCATAATATTTATTTCAACGGTCGCTGAGGCAGCTGTCCAGGCTGTCTCATTGGTCTTCTTTCTTGGATGTTCCCAGTTGACTGTATGATGCAAATTTATGGGTTAGTTTGTTTTGGACACAGTTTTATAACAACAGAAACACAAGCTTATTTTTAAGTGTGATTTTTGATTTGGGGATTTTCCATTCACTTGTGACATTTAGAGATGGATGTTAATAACTTACGTGAGTAAACAGTAAATATATATATGTGTGTGTGCGCGTGTATATATATATATGGCTTCCCTGGTGGCTCAGATGTGAAAGAAACAGCCTACAATGCAGGAGATCTGGGTTCGATTCCTGGGTCTGGAAGATCCCCTCAAGCAGGAAATGGCAACCCACTCCAGTATTCGTGCCTGGAGAATTTCATGGACAGAGAAGCCTGGCGGGCTATAGTCAATGGGGTTGCAAAGAGTTGGACATGACTGAGCAATTAACATGCTGTATATATAGTGTGTGTGTGTATATATATATATATATATATATATATATATATATATATATATATATAAAACATATAAATTATATTGCTCAGTCCTAAAGGAAATCCACCCTGAATATTCGTTGGAAGGACTGATACTGAAGCTGAAACTCCAGTACTTTGGCCAGCTGACACTAAGAGTCGATTGATTGAAAAAGACCCTGATGCTGGGAAAGATTGGAAGGCAGGAGGAGAAGCGGGCAACAGAGGATGAGATGGTTGGATGGCATCCCCGACTCGTGGGACATGTGTTTGGGCAAACTGTGGGAGATGGTGGGGGACAGGGAAGCCTGGCGTGCTGCAGTCCACGGGGTGGCAAAGAGTCGGCCGGGACTTGGCGACTGAACAGCGACAATACTGTGGAATAGCTGCAGGCACAAAGGAGGTGTTGAAGGGAGAATGCAGTTCCTTTCTATTGTCTCTCTCTCTCTTTGCGTTTCCAAAGAGTCTCGGTCTGTCTGCACCTCACTGTCTTTCCCCACAGGGGAAGGGGACCAGGTACCTGTTGTGAGTTCGGGACGAGGATGGGTGTAAATAGCCCTGCTTCTTCCGTCTGTTCTTCTCTTCTGAGAGGCAGCCTGCCCCGTGGGTGAGATCACGTGTTCCGGTCTCAGCCTCTGTGATCTCAGTCACCATATGCTCATACGTGGCTGCGGTGTGGCTGCGATCACTTGGCACCATCCTTCCTTAAGTGGGAAAATGGAATCTTCTGCGATTTGATTTGATTTATTTTTTAAAATTAATTAATTTATTTTAATTGGAGGCTAATGACTTTACAATATTGTAGTGGTTTTTTGGCCATACATTGACGTGAATCAGCCGTGGGTGTACATGTGTTCCCCACCCTGAACCCCCCTCCCCGCTCCCTCCCCAAGGGATTCGATTTTAGCCCGTTGTTGATAAGCATAAGATACATATCTTCTAATCTAGCTCTTCTCAGTAATAAAGTTGGAAGTTAGCTACCTACTGGGAAAGTTGGCTTCCCTGCTGGCTCAGATAATAAAGACTCTGCCTGCAATGCAAGAGATGGGGGTTCGATCCCTGGGTCAGGAAGATCCCCTGGAGAAGGGAAGGGCAACCCACTCCAGTATTCTTGCCTGGAGAATCCCACGGACCAGAGGAGCCTGGTGGGCCCTAGTCCATGGGCTCGCAGAGAGTCAGACACAACTGAGCGACTAACACTTTTCACTTTTCAGGCATCCACCTGGCAGACGACTCTGCAGAAGACAAAGTGAAATGATCTGACAGTCCCTAAGTACTAAGCCCAGGGTCTTGGTTGGGAACCTTGAGAACTAGACATAGATTTGCAATTCGGGAACCACTCGAGCAGTAAGTTGACTGAAGCTTCAGATAGGGCTTGGGCTCAAAGCTTCTGGCCTTGGCCTAACCAACTGGCTCTGCTCAAGTTGGAATTTTCCCTTTAGTGAGTCTTTCCAGCTTGGGCTATATTGACAACAGACCCAAAAATGTTTTCAGGGTATGGATAGGTTATGTTAGGTCAAAAGCAGCCCCAGGAAGCATGCTGGCTGAGCAAGCTTGTGTGGGACTGAAGAAAATGTGGGCCTGAAGGTACAGGGTGATGTGACTTGACCTTGAATTACAGAGGCCTTGGACATGTGAAGGCCCTCACGGGTACTGCACAGCTTACAGACTTCCAAGGCATCACGAGAGAGGAAGGGACTTGTCCGAAGGAAAATGTGTTACTTTCATTGTCATATTTATGGTTTGTAGATACTATGGAGGCACGAATTAGCAGTCATCTGCTTTTGTTTTTTTATAGTCTATGACAATGTATTAACAAGTATTATTGTTAAACGTACTTACATGAACCTTGAAATTCACCAGGACTGAAAAATACCAAAACAGTTGGAAGAAAAGTAGAAGCGTGTAAGATAATTTCATAGCCAGAATTTCATGGATTCATGTCAGGATTTTATTTTATTTCTTTATTAATATTTTTTGGTAGAGAGACATGTGGGATTTTAGTTCCCCAACCAGGGATCGAACTGGCACCCCCTGCATTTGAAGCATGGAGTCTTAACCACCAGTGAAGTCCTCAGTTCAGTTCAGTTGCTCAGTCGCGTCCGGCTCTTTGCAAGCCCATGGACTGCAGCATGCCAGGCTTAGCTGTCCATCACCAATTCCTGTCCTCACCAATTTCAGTGAGGTCCTGAGTCCCAGGATTTTAAGCTGTACCTAAGCTCCCTGCTTGTAAGGGAGCATTCGAATGTGAAGTTGGAGATTTTAAAAAGCCATTGATGCCATGTTGACTCCCCCATCCCCACCCCTAGTGGCTTAGACAATAAAGAATATGCTTGCAAGGCAGGAGGGTTTGATCCCTGGATTGGGAAGATCCCCTGGAGAAGGGGATGGCAACCCACTCCAGTATTCTTGCCCGGAGAATTCCATGAACAGAGGAGCCCGGCGGGACACGTCTGAGCCACTTCACACCACACTGATACTGGCACAGGGGAGAAATTGGCTGCAGTCAATTCTATTGCATTTAACGTTGTTCTTAAACCCAGTGACCTGAGTAAAGTGTGGAAGCAGGTCTCTTGGATTCAAGTCTTCAGGTTATTAAGTCTCTTAGCATCAAGTGGACTAGGTTGGCTTTGAATTGGAACGTTGTTTAATGTCATCAAATGGCCCTAGGTGTCAGAACTCAGTGGGATTGGATTTAAACTCCTGAAAGTGTAAAAGTGTGAATTGCTTAGTCATGTTTGACTCTTTGTGACCCCGTGGACCATAGCCTGCCAGGCTCCTCTGTCCATGGGATTCTTCAGGGAGGAATACTGGAGTGGGTTGCTATTTCCTACTCCAGGGGGTTTTCCCCACCCAAGGATTGAACTCATGTCTCCCTCTCGAGTCTCCTGCATTGTCAGGCAGAGTCTTTACAGAACACTAGCGTCACCAGGGAAGCCCATAGAGACCATAACTGATGGCAGAAAAAGCGTGTACCTTCCGCAGATGTCACAGTTACAAACCGTCCTGTGAACTGTATTTGTTATGAGAGCCAGGATCCCCGTGAGCCACTCAAGTCCAAGGTCCAATCTGTCCTCACTGAGTATCTCAACATTTTGTTCCTTGTGGGATTTTTTTTTCCCCTTTAGATTAAAAAAATACTTTTAAATTTTATTTTAATTGGAGGATAATTACAGTCTTGTGATTTCTTTTTTGCCATACATCAGTATTGATTTAGATTTTTTAAAATATTGTATTAAAATATTATTTAAGCTGATTAGTTTTATTTGGCCCTCCCTTCGATTGCGGGCCCAAGAGTGCCTTGTTGCACGCGTTTAGGCGCGAAGGCGGAGTTCCAGATTCGCCTCGCAGAAGGCCGCACCCGCGCGGTACCTGCGCGGTACCGGCAGACCTCCGGGGCGGATTCGCAGACCCCAGCAGTTCGGCTTTCAGAGGCCATGACCGCAGCCACTGGGAACAAAGTCTGCACAGGGTGGACTCAGCCGAAGGCAGCCTTGGCTCCAGAGCCATGGGGCTCGGAGGAATCAGAGAGTTGGGGAGGGTGTTGGCCGGAAAAGGTTAGCTTCCGACTTGGCGCTTCCGCTTCTTTCACAAGATTTTACAAGAGGTGGCTAGAGAAAAGGCGAGACCGCTCTCTCAAAGTATGGCACGTGATGTGAAGATTTGGGGGTGGGGGTGGGGGTGGGGCATCGGAAAGTCTAGGAAAGAGACCAGGCTAGTGGCGCTGCTTCTGCACCTCCACTGTGCGTGGTTGCCTCAGTCCCCCACAGCGTCCGCCCTGGCTCTGAACTGCACTTGGGGCGGGGTGGGGGGGGGGGCGATCCCTCCTGCCCAGGGGACCGCTGTCTGGGTTCCGGCGAGGCAGGCCCCAGACTCATTGGTTCCATCGCCAGCCTCCGTCCTGTGCCCAGTGATCTCCGCTCAGATAGTAGCACGGTCTCTGGCCCGCTGAGCGGCCTGGCCCCGTCTCCCCAGCACAGAGGAGAGGGCGGCTGTGCCCTTGGTGGGCCTGGAGTGAAGTGGGTATGCCTGGCCTTTGCCCCGCACCCCACTTCCCTCCTGATTATTGGCACAGCCTCCCTGGGAGAGCGGGTGGGCATCTGGTCTACCCAGCCCAGCCACGGGGGTCACAGGGTCACACCTGCCCAGGGAGGTGGGGATGGAAGGCTACCTGCAGAGGCTGACCCAGACCCGGAGGATCTCCCGTGGTTCTAACCTACAGCCTCCTCGTCAGCTTTCATCAAGCGTAGATGCTGCTTTTTCTTGATTGACTGATATTTGACTACGCTGGGTCTTAGTTGTGGCCCGTGGGCTCACAAGTTTCTTGAGGCAGCTTGAGGGCTCCGTTGCCCTGAACCGTGTGGATCTTATATTCCCTGACCAGGGGTGGAACCCACGTCCCCTGCGTTGGAAGGTGGGGTGTTAACCACTGGACCGCCAGAGAAGTGCCGCACATGGTACTTTTTAATTCCAGTGGTCCTGATTTCTATTAGCTCAGTTGATTCCAAATTCAGCTTAAGAAAAAGCTGGTGTTAATTTAGCAGGTCCTCTTAATCCCCACATAGTAGATAATCAGTAAATCTTTGCCGAATGAGTAAGCATCCTCAGTTTTATGATTGGTCTCAAGTTTATGTGTTTGCAGAATTTCAGGAAAATATGAATCATTTAGCCAAGATTACCGCAGGGGAGAAAAGATAGTCTCTGTGTATATGGCTAGTCTCAACTATGTTTTACATCCAAATTTGATTAACTTTATTTTTGGTGAATACAGTGAAACGATTTATATATGCTATCCCTTTTCTTAAGAAATATAGTAACTTTTTAATGCATCCTATGGTGGTTTGTAAGACTGTGTACATGTGTATGTATGTGTTGGTGGAGGCAGAAGCTGGGTTGTGTGTATGTGTATGTAATTAAGGCTTTCAGCATGCTCTTTATTTGGTTTGATTTCATCTGTTTTAAGTGTAGGGTGAAAAATAAAATCCAACTTTGACAAAACCAAAGACATCGTGAAGATTATCTGGTTTCAAACACATCGGTCATTTGGACACAAACTCACGCCCAACAGTGATTCAAGCAGACAGGTCTCCGTTGGTTGGTCTGGTTTTAGATTCCACCAGATCTCCCAGACTTGGAGTCCTTTTTTTTTGTCAGGTGGCCTGTATGCTAATTGGTCAGGATATCAGATATCCAAAACCAGAAATCTTGTCACACTGCCTGGTTCAATCCGTGTAACACACCTGTCTTCCACACATTCAGCTCAATAGTTTTAACCTAGCCTCTGTGGCTAAAATTGGAGCCCAAGCCCCAAGTGTGTCTCAGGAATGCATTTCTACTTTGTATCTTGGACATTGTCTTTGTTGAGGCAGTCCACTGCAGTGCCTCCAGCCACTCAGAGCCCTTTCCCAAACCATTATGTAGAGATCCTATGTGGCATCTGTTTCTCTAATTCAGAGTCCTAAAGAAGGAGTCTCCCCTTCAGAACATTCATAAACTTGAGATGGGTTGCGCACCATCCATGACAAAACTAGACAACATATTAAAAAGCAGAGACATCACTTTGACAACACAGGTTCATATAGTCAAAGCTGTGGTTTTTCTAGTAGTCATGTGTGGATATGACAGTTTGATCATAAAGAAGGCTGAGTGTCAAAGAACTGATGCTTTTGAACTGTGGTGCTGGAGAAGAATCTTGAGAGTCCCTTGGACTGCAAGGAAATCAAACCCAGTCCAATCCAAAAGGAAATCAATCCTGAATGTTCATCGAAGGACTGATGCTGAAGCTGAAGCTCCAGTACTTTGGGCACCTGATGTGAAGACCTGCCTCACTGGAAAAAGACCCTGATGGCTGGGAAAGATTGAATGCAGAAGGAAGAGGGGTGACAGGATGAGATGGTTGGATGGCATCATCGACTCAATGGGCATGAATTTGAGCAAACTCTGGGAGATAGTGGAGGTCAGGGAGGTCTGGTGTCCATGGGGTTGCAAAGAGTTGGACATGACTTAGCGACTGAACAACAACAATAAAACCATCTAAATAGCATCATCATTCCTTTGAAAAGGTGCAATGAGACAATATTGAACACCACTGTAAAATTTGTGTGTGTGGCTGCTGCTGTTAAGTTGCTTCAGTCATGTCCAACTCTATATGACTCCGTAGACAGTAGCCCACCAGGCTGCCCCGTCCCTGGGATTCTCCAGGCAAGAACACTGGAGTGGGTTGCCATTTCTTTCTCCAGTGCATGAAAGCGAAAAGTGAAAGTGAAGTCGCTCAGTCGTGTCCGACTCTTTGCGACCCCATGGATTGCAGCCTACCAGGCTCCTCTGTCCATGGGCTTTTCCAGACAAGAGTACTGGAGTGGGTAGCCATTCCCTTCTCCAGGGGATCATCCTGATCCAGGGATTGAACCTTGGTCTCCTGAGTTGTGGGCAGATTTCCTAGCATCTTGAGTCACCAGGGAAGCTCAGAAGTGGTGCTATTTTAATTTTTGTGTAGCACCTCTTTCTACCCCAGTGCCTGGGAGACGTGCAGACGTTTTTAGCAAGGAGAGGATATAGGTGTGCAGTGTGTATCCCGCTGTGTCCAGGTGGGAGTCAGACTTCCGACCAGCCTGGATTCACAGCACACTCCAGCTCCATGCTCCTCCAGAATCCGAGTGCCAGCCTCTTTTGGTTGACATCAAAACTTCCAGAAAACAGGTAAGACTAGAATGTCCAGGCCCACACGCCCAAAATGTCAGGGCCACCTGATAAAAGCCAGCGGAGAGGGTTGCTGGATGGTGTTAGAGAAGTGTTTGCATCTGATGTGTTCATACCTGATGCCAGGTGAGTGTCACCGTCCCCACTGGTGCACGCCTGGCTTCTGGGCCCCAGCCCACATTCAGGAGCAGGGCGACTTAATTTTGAGTTGCTACAGGTGCCTTCCAGGTCTTCCCTCACCAGGTCTTTTTTATTTTTTTAGATTGTTTTATTGGAGTACAGTTGTATTACAATGTCGTGTTACTTTCTGATATACAGCAAAGTGAGTCAGTTACACACATAACTTTATCCTCTGCTTTTTGATATTGAGGTTCCCACAGACCATCACGTTCCCCGGGCTATACAGGAGGTTGTTGTTGGTTATCTATTTTGTGTGTTGTATCAGTAGTGTATATATGTCAATCCCAATGTCCCAGTTCTTCCTGCCTCCTCCCTCGCCCCTTACATTTGTTCTCTATACTGGGCATATACCCAGAGAAAGCCGTAATTCAAAGATAGGTGCACCGCAGTCTTCACTGCAGCACTGTTTAGAATAGCCAGGACAGCGAAACAACCTTCATGTCCATCAACAGAAGAATGAATCAAGAAGTTGTAGTAAGAGCTGACTCATTGGAACAGACCCTGAGGCTGGGCAAGATTGAGGGCAGGAGGAGAAGGGGACGACAGAGGCTGAGATGGTTGGATGGCATCACCGACTCAATGGACATGAGTTTGAGTAAGCTCCGGTAGTTGGTGATGGACAGGGAGGCCTGGCGTGCTGCAAGTCCATGGGGTCGCAAAGAGTCGGACACAACTGAGCGACTGAACTGACCTGAATGGCACATATATACAATGGAATATGACTCAGCCATAAAAAAGAACCAAATTGGGTCATTTGCAGAGACACGGATGGATCTAGAGGTTATCATACCGAGTGAATTGAGTCAGAAAGAGAAAAGCAAATATGGGATCCCCACAGCAGTCTCGTGTAACATCTTCCTCTTTCTCTGTGCTGTATGCGTTGTGTGCCTCATCTCAGAGGGTCAAGCACACGATCTCCAGAGAATGTGAAAACCGTAACCTTCTTCAGACGGAAGGAGGACGTGTTACCTGCTGCCGTGTTTTCACTCTTGTCCTCTCGCCATTGGGAGTGCGGAGACACGGGCAGTTTATATCACGTCCCGGTGTGTTCTTGATGCTCCCCTGGGTCACGTTTCCCTGTGTTGACTAAAAAGATGCACAGCATCAGAGTTGCGAGTTCACTTTTATTTGGGGGCAAACTGAGGACTCTAGCCCGGGAGACAGCACCTCAGCTAGCCCCGAGAGACTGCTCCGAGAAGCAGTAGGGGGAGATCAGTATATATGATTTTGAGAAAGGAGGGGGGGATCATGCAAAGAAGCGCTTACTTTGCAAAAAGTTTTCTGCCAGTCATGAGGAGCTGACGTCACCATGAAGGGATTTAGTGCTTTGCTAGATACGAGGAGATGCCAAGGATTGGGCAGGAGGAGAAGGGGATGACAGAGGATGAGTGGATGACATCATTGATGACATGGTTGGGTGGCACCATTGACTCGGTCGATTTGAGTTTGAGCAAACTCCGGGAGTTGGTGATGGACGGGGACGCTTGGTGCGCCGCTGTCCATGGGGTCACAAAGAGTCGGACACGACTGATGGACTGAACTGAGCCAATCTGAAGGATTGGGATCATGAAATCAGCTCCTGAAGATAACTGTCAAAAAGACCTTTTCTAGGTTCCCTGGAGCACAGGGTGCCTCAGTCTCCACCCTGACCTTCCTCAGGGGGCGCCGAAAGTCACCAGCTACAGCAGCATGGTATTCAGTCTCCGCAGAGGTGGATGGCAAAGGGCCTAGTCTTTGTTGAAAGAAAGGAAAGTGAAGTTGCTCAGCCATGTCCGACTCTTTGCCACCCCACAGACCGTAGCCCGCCAGGTGGTGTTAGCCACCTCCCCTCTTCTCTGAGCTTCTCCCGAGCCTCATGCCCCTTTGTAAAGCATTCATTTTCATATAAATTCCCTCAGACTGCTAGCGTCTAGCCCTCCGATGCTGGCAGACACAGCAAGTGAAATCTAACTTTCTTCCCATCCCAGGACAAAGAATCAAATTACCAAGGGAAATTTTAGGCAGACAAGGGATTTTAAGACCCTTTGTGGGTTTAGTCTCCAAGTCGTGTCCGAGTCTTTAGTACAACCCCATGGACAGTAGGGTTGTACTACTGTACTTCCACCAGGCTCTTCTTTCTGTCCATGGGATTCTCCAGGCAAGAATACTGCAGTGGGTTGCCATTTCCTACTCTAGGTAACCTTCACAACCCAGGGATGGAACCCACATCTCCTACATTGGCAGGTGGGTTCTTTACCACTGAGCCACCAGAAGGAAAAAGTGAAAGTGAAAGTTGCTCAGTCATGTCTGAACGTTTTGCACAACCTCATGGACTGCAGCCTGCCAGGCTCCTCTGTCCTGGGATTTTCCAAGCAAGAACACTGGAGTGGGTTGCCATTTCTTTCTCCTGGGGATCTTCACCGACCAGGGATGGAACACTCATCTCCTGCATTGCAAGTGGATTCTGTACTGTTGAGCCACTTGGGAAACCCCAAGACCCTTTACTATGGTTTAAACAATTCCTAAAATAATTTTCTTCCCTTTAAGGAGGTTCCTTGAGCCCAGGACCAAATATAGCAAGAATTATATTCACCCAAGTGACTCTAGTTTTCCTGAGAATTTTCGGGTGAAGGCATTTTTATGTTTCCAAGTACCAAAACATTTTCTGAGCTTCACTGATCGAACCTTCTAACAACCTGGTGAATTATATCTACATCTGAGGTGGAACATAGGGAATGCCCCAAACGTTCTCAGAGACGTTTCGTAATGATTTAAGAGTAAGAACCGTGTCTAATGGAAATGACAGGCATAATTCATTTATGAAAGTCGAAATGAGATTCAACCTTGACTGCACAAGGCTGTTTTTCCACCGTGCCGTGGAACTCTACTGCTTGTGATGTAGATAAAATTGTGGGTTTTGACTTGTTCAACAACACTGTGTGTGTGTGTGTGTGTGTGTGTGTGTGTGCATGTGCTCAGTCATGTCCAATTCTTTGTGAACCCAAGGACTGTAGCCCACCAGGCTCCTCTGTCCATGGGATTTCCCAGGCAAGAGTACTGGAGTGGGTTGGCATTCCCTACTGCAGGGGATCTTCCCAACCCAGGGATGGAACCCATGTCTCCTGCATTTCAGGCAGATTCTGTACTACTGAGCCACCAGAGAAGCCTCTTTACGTGACTTTACTCAATATCAAGCCCTGAGAGTCAAAGAGGATGACTAAAAAGCCAGTAATAGGATTATGTATTTTGCTAGATGATTTTAGCTCTAGGTTCTGGTTGATAGTTTCTCTGAAAAGCAGAGCAGATTCTGACTTTTTTTTTTTCTTTTTACATTTTGGCTACGCTGCACAGCATGTGGGATCTTAGTTCCTCGACCAGGGATCTCCGTTGCACTCCCTGCAATGGAAGCTTGGAGTCCTAACCGCTAGACCACCAGGGAGTGCCTAGAGCACACATTATTCATATTATTCCATTTCATCTTTTTTTTTTTCTTTTGGTTCAGTTCAGTTCAGTCGCTCAGTTGTGTCCGACTCTTTGCGACCCCATGGACTGCAGCACGCCAGGCTTCCCTGTCCATCACCATCTCCTGGAGCTTGCTCAAACTCATGTCCATTGAGTCAGTGATGCCATCCAACCATCTCATCCTCTGTCGTCCCCTTCTCCTGCCCTCAATCTTTCCCAGCATCAGGGTCTTTTCCAATGCATCAGCTCTTCGCATGAGGTGGCCAAAGTATTGGAGTTTCAGCTTCAGCATCGGTCCTTCCAATGACTATTCAGGACTGATTTCCTTCAGGATGGACTGCAAGGAGATCCAAGCAAGGGACTCTCAAGAGTCTTCTCCAACAACACAGTTCAAAAGCATCAATTCTTTGGTGCTCAGCTTTCTTTACAGTCCAACTCTCACATCCATACATGACTACTGGAAAAACCATAGCCTTGACCAGACGGACATTTGTTGGCAAAGTAGTGTCTCTGCTTTTTAATGTGCTATCTACGTTGGTCGTCACTTTTCTTGCAAGGAGTAAGCGTCTTTTAATTTCATGGCTGCAGTCACCATCGACAGTGATTTTGGAGTCCCCAAAAATAAAGTCAGCCACTGTTTCTATGGTTTCCCCATCTATTTGCCATGCAGTGATGGGACCAGATGCCATGATCTTAGTTTTCTGAATGTTGAGCTTTAGGCCAACTTTTTTTGGTTACTTTTTTTAGAAATTAAATTAATTTATTTTTCATTGAAGGATAATTGCTTTACAATATTGTGTTTGTTTGTGCCAAACATCAACATGAGTCAGCCATCGGGATACATGTGTCCCTTTCCTTCTGAGCTTCCCTCCCACCTCCCTCCCCATCCCAGCCCTCTAGGGCCCCGTGGCTACCTATTTTATGTATGCTTATGTATATGCTGGGGCTTCCCTGGTAGCTCAGCTGGTAAAGAATCGCCTGCAATGCAGGAAACCCTAGTTCGATTCCTGGGTGTGGAATTTCCCCTGGAGAAGGGATAGGCTACCCACTCCAGTATTCTTGAGCTTACCCGGTGGCTCAGACGGTAAAGAATCTGCCTGCAATGCGGGAGACCTGGGTTCGATCCCTGGGTCGGAAAGATCCCCTGGAGGAGGGCATGGCTACCCACTCCAGTATTCTTGCCTGGAGAATCCCATGGACAGAGGAGCCTGGCGGGCTACACAGTCCGTGGGGTGGCAGATAGTCACGACTGAGTGACTAAGCATCTTCCGGTTGTGTAGTGTATAGTTTAAGGTACAGCCCAGGCCGATAAACACAGATGGAGGGAGGGGCTTGCATGTCATGACGCCCCCTCTCAGGGAAGCAGCTGAAGGCTGCCTCAGGAGCCATCTTGCATGGTACCTACTTCTCATGGTACACCAGAGCTAGAAGCCTGCTGTAGAGTGATCTGGTAGGTTTTCATGTTTTGAAAGTGCTGAGGAAAAAAATGTTTATTCTTCTCCTATGTTGCTGTTTAGTCGCTCAGTCATATCTGGACCTTTGTGACCCCATGGGCGGCAGCATGCCAGGCCTCCCTGCCCCTCACCAGAGATGCTGGAGCGTTTGGAAGAAGTGTCGCGTTGATCTTGATTTTTAGAGGTGGCACAGTTAAGACACCTCTCTCTGTGTCTGCGAGGGGGTCTAAGAATTTTGAGTGCGTGCACCCTTGTGCACGGAGAAGGAAATGGCAACCCACTCCAGTGTTCTTTCCTGGGGACTCCTGTGGACAGAGGAGCCTGGTGGGCTGCAGTCCGTGGGGTCGCACAGAGTCAGACACGACTGAAGCGATATAGCAGCAGCAGCAGCATTGTTGTGCAAACGGAGCTCAGTGTTAGAAGGAGAGGCTGTGGTCAGCAGAATTCTAACCTGGCTCCAGGACCCCTGCCCTCCCCCCAGCGACCACACCCTGTACAATCCCACCCCTTGCAAGTGACCCACTCCTGTGCTTACCTCAAGGATGTGGGGAAGGCAGAGGTGAATGAAGACAGTGGCCTGTGAGTCCATGGGAGAGATGGAATGCTGGGTGGGCTGGAACTTTTTTTTTTTCTTTCAGTATTCTTTCTACTTTTTTTTGCTTGTTTGTTTTAACATGCCTAAATGTCTTGATATTTTATTATTTTTTCCATTTAGTTTTATTAGTTGGAGGCTAATTACTTTACCGTCTTGTAGTGGTTTTCACCACACATTGACATGAATCAGCCATGGGTGTACATGTGTTCCCCATCCTGAACCCCCCTCCCACCTTTTAAAGGGGGTCCCAGGGCTCACTTCCCTGGTGGCTCAGCGATAAAGAATCTGACTGCTGATGCAGGAGTCACGGATTAGACCCCTGATCCAGGAACATGCCACATGTCGGGGAGCAACTCAGCCCGTGTGCCCCAACTATGGAGGCTGTACCCTGGAGTCTGGGAGTGCTAACTGTTGAGCCCACGTAGTGAAACTCCTGAAGCCCTAGAGCCTGTACAAGAGAAACCACCGGGATGAGAAGCCCAGGGACCAGGGCACAGAGCAGCCCCCGCTCACCACAGCTGGAGAAAGCCCAGGCACAGCATCGAAGACCCATCGCAGCCTGAAATTAAAAAATAAATAAATAAATATTTTTTTTAAAAAAAAGGGGGTCCAGGATTTTCCTGAAGGGAATGTATTGCAAGAAAGATAGGCTTTTGCTCCACTGACCTTGAAGAAGCAGAACAGCATGTCACCAGCTCCTGGTGATGGGGGAGCTCGTGGCAGGAGCTGCGGGCGACTGTGGGCAGCTGAGAGTCAGCAAGGCCATGGGGCCTCGACGCTGGGAACTCAAGTCCGTCCGGAAGCTGAGTGAACCTGGAAATGGAGTGTTGTTTGATGGTCAGACCTCAGATGAGAAGGCAGCCGGGTCAACAGCCTGATTTCAGCCTGGGGAAGACGGTGCGCGCAGAAAGGGTTAACCCCGCCCTGGACTGGTGCCCTAGAGGATGAAATGTGCACGTGTTGCTTTTAGAAGCTGAGGTCTTGGAGTGTGAGGGGGAGTGTGGGTTGTTGTGCAGCGTGGAAAAGAGTCCACATCCATTGCACACAGCAGCATCCAAATACTGAGTAAGAAAGATGCTCGGTACAAACGTTCTGTAGTCTCTTACGGGGAGTAAAGAGGCTGAATTACTAAACGTGCTTCGGTGGGACACTCTAAGCCAAGAGCTCCTGGTCATGGGTGCCATCCAGCTTGGAACCACCCACTTCTGTTTCACTCCATCTGCACCTAATGACTTCGGCTCCACTTGCCAAACTTCATTTCACTCCCAAGACATCTCTCTTTTTTGTTGTTGTTAAATGAGAACTTTTTTTTTAAATGTGGACCATTGTCAAAGTCTTGATTGAATGTGTTACAATATTGTTTCTGTTTTGAGTTTCAGGTTTTCTGGCTTGGGAGGGAGGGCATGTGTGATCTTAGCTCTGAAACCAGGGATCTAACCTGCTCCCCCTGAGGCTCCCCAGACATCGCTTTTTGATTAGCAGTTGTTTGTGCACGTGTGTGCTTCTTGTCCTTGGATGTCTGGGCATTCTCCAGGCAACAGTACTGGAGTGGGTAGCCATTCCCCTTCTCCAGGGGGTCGTCCCCTCGCAGGGACTGAAACTGAGTCTGCTACACTGCAGGCCGCTTGCTTGCCATCTGAGCCCCCAGGGAAACGTTCCTTCTCTGCCACAAGCCTTCACTGGGCCTTCTGCTGCTAAGTCGCTTCAGTCGTGTCCGACTCTGTGCAACCCCATAGACGGCAGCCCACCATGCTCCCCCGTCCCTGGGATTCTCCAGGTGAGAACACTGGAGTGGGTTGCCATTTCCTTCTCCAATGCAGGAAAGTGAAAAGAGAAAATGAAGTCGCTCAGCCGTATCCGACTCTTCACGACCCCATGGACTGCAGCCTACCAGGCTCCTCCGTTCATGGGATTTTTCCAGGCAAGAGTCCTGGAGTGGGGTGCCATTGTCTTCTCCATCATTGGACCTAGAGACTTTGATTTTTCTTTTATGATTTCCTCTGAGTTCATAGAATAAAAATAAAAAGGTGGTTTGTGTTAAAACAGTTGTACTTTGGGGACAAAAGGATCAGTTCAGTTCAGTCGCTCAGTTGTGTCCGACTCTTTGCGACCCCACAGACTGCAGCACGCCAGGCCTCCCTATCCATCACCATCTCCTGCAGTTTCACCCAACTTCATGTCCATCATGTCAGTGATGCCATCCAACCATCTCATCTTCTGTCGCCCCCTTCTCTCGCCTTCGATCTTTCCCAGCATCAGGGTCTTTTCCAATCATGTTGGCTCTTTGCATCAGGTGACTCAAGTATTGGAGCTTCAGCTTCATCTTAAAGTTTTGTTTTGTTTTTTAAAGAAGACCTTGCATTAAAGTATTAGTGTTAATATAGAAGGGAAAAAAAATCATCTCGTTTGGTTACTGAAAATTGCAACTTAATATAAAAGTGTAAATAGGGAAGGTTTTCCATCAGCCTGACCGAATCTTTTGGTAGCCTTGTGCTTGCTTTTATGATGCACAAATATCTCACGTTTTAGAGTGACAAAGAGCAAGGGCCATGAGGAAGACTCAATGCCACGAGGAAGACTCGTAGTGGTGTGTGTGAGTGCCTTGGGCACTTTGACAGTTTGAGTGTGAGCCTGAGTGTATGTGAATGAGATTCCACTAGCAGAGTTCTGCCCACCCCGAAGTTGTCTCCCTATCCCTTATACACGCGTTCTGTCTTCAGAGCAAGTCAGTTCCGTGAACACCTTAAGCATCATTGGAAAAAAGTGGTATAATCTATTTCGTTACAAATCGTATCTTGTCCAAACTCAGGCATGTTATCCCTGGAATAACTCCTTATGTGAAAAGATTTAAAACCTAGCAAGGCAAGTGTCCCAAATTTCCTACTCCTTCTCCAAACTCATAAATACTTCACTGACTCATAACTACAGTTCTAGCAATTGAAGAAATATTTTTTTTTTTAAAAAGTTAGTAACAGAGACAGAGGTTATTCTTCCTGGCACAGTTATTTCTTTTTTGTTTTAAAATAGCCGTGTATTTTATTTAAATAATTCATTTACTTTTAATTGGAGGATAATTGCTTTACAATATGGTGTTGGTTTCTGCCATACACCAACATGAATCAATTGTAAGTGTATATATGTCCTCTGCCCCCAGTCATTTCTAAAATAAAATAAGCCAGAGGTTTTTTGTTGTTGTTGTTGTTGTTTGTTTGCTTTTTAGTATGAAGCCCTTTTAGGCTTGGGCTTCCCTTGGGGCTCAGCTGGTGAAGAATCCACCTGCAATGCAGGAGACCCGGATTCGATCCCTGGTCTGGGAAGATCCCCTGGAGAAGGGAAAGGCTACCCACTCTGGTATTCTGGCCTGGAGAATCCCATGGACTCTATAGTCCACACGACTAAGCGACTTTCAGTTCACTTCACTTCCTTTTATGATGTTTGGTGTCATTGCTACATTGATATGGTTCACGGTATCTCCGAGGTCAGAACTGGAGACCGTGCCTTGCTGCACGGCCCACGTCACTAATATACCTCCATAAACCTTGGACTTCGAGACTGTACCAGACCTTGGTGTTTGCACGGGAGGGCTGAAATTTGCAAAAGTAGGCTATACTGGGGAAAACATCAGGAAATCTCAAAGTGGAAAGATTTTCAAAGCATTGTTCTTTTTTTGAATGATGAGAAGCGTGAGATATTGAAAACATCAAGGATCATGCGTGAGGCAGTTAAGAAAACCTTCCTTTGGAGAATTTGCCATGCACCTGATAGTATCCTTGCCTGGAAAATTCCATGGACAGAGGAGCCTGGCGGGCTACAGTCCATGGGATCGCAAAGAGTCGGACACGACTGAGCGACTTCACTATCTATCTTGATAGGCCCGTCCGTGAGCCAACAGGCGATTGAGGTGCTGTTTACCGCAAGAATGCTAGCGCACGTTAGTATTCCCAGTATGCTTGTTATTATTCAAATCAGAAAGCGCTGACCTCATTTTCTGTCTCCATAGAGCCCCCTGGATCTTGATGGTGATACACATTCAAGATGTAGAAGGTCTTTAAGGTGGCCTTGAATGATTCGACGGGCTGGGTCTGGAAGATGCTTGTGCCTCATTTTGGAATGTGCAATAAATGCGCATTTCCTTATACTCATTAGCTTAATTTTGCACCTGTCCTCTGAACAGTCCAAGGTGCTCTTGACAGAGGCTGCCCGTAAGGAGTGCAAAGTGCCTCTTTAACCGGCAGGAAGAGGCCATCGCAGAGAAAGGCAAGAAAATGACCTTGAGATGAGAGTGAGTGAGAAAGGGTCTGGTGAAGCTACAAACTTGGCGTGGCCCGTGCACTCTTTTCAGAAACTGAAAACGTTTTTGACGTGGACATTGGCCGTTTCAGGAAGCCAAGAAGGTGACGGGCAGAGAATACCAGGTTTCTATGGCTTTTATTTTTTTTTTAAGTTCAGGAGACACACTGCCTCCAAGTGAAGGCACTGTCGTTGATGATGTCATCATTTTTCTCAAGTATTATAACCTAGTGTTCACTCTTGGCTGTTGTAAACTCTCTAGATACCCCGTTTTATTTTCGGCGCAACCAGCCATGCCTTTCATTTCACTTTTCCACCCAGGGCCCCGGCCTTGGCTGCAGGCTGACACCCGGTTTGTGACCCGTGCTCTCCACTGGCGTGTCTCTCTGTCAATGGTCTGTCCTGACCCCTGCAGTGTCTCCCACCCGCACTCTCAGTGTGAGGTCCTTCTATTCTCTTTCTTCCCCGATGCCCTGCCCCCAGTGCTTTTCCACAGCTGCCTTCTCCCTTATCACACTTGTTCTCCAAAACAGCTAGCTGCTGCTTCCACGTGCTTCCCTCTGCTCTATGTGTGCTTCTGAGTGGTGACTGCAGCCGTGAAATTAAACCACGCTTGCTCCTTGGAAGAAAAGCTATGACCCACCCAGACAGCATATTAAAAAGCAGAGGCATTACTTTACCAACAAATGTCCATCTAGTCAAAGCTATAGTGTTTCCAGCAGTCATGTATGGATGTGAGAGCTGGACTATAAAGAAAGCTGAGCGCTGAAGAATGGATGCTTTTGAACTGTGGTCTTGGAGAAGACACTTGAGAGTCCCTTGGACTGCAAGGAGATCCAACCAGTCCATCCTAAAAGGAAATCAGTGCTGAATATTCACTGGAAGGACTGATGTTGAAGCTGGAACTCCAATCCTTTGGCCACCTGATGTGAAGAACCGACTCACTGGAAAAGACCCTGATGCTGGGAGGGATTGGGGGCAGGAGGAGAAGGGGATGACAGAGGATGAGATGGTTGGATGGCATCACCGCCTCAATGGACATGAGTTTGAGTAAGCTCTGGAAGTTGGTGATGGACAGGGAGGCCTGGTGTGGTGCAGTCCCTGGGGTCTAAGAGTCAGACACGACTGAGCGACTGAACTGAACTGAACTGAGTGGCCTCTCATTGTCTGTGCCCTCCACTGGAGCCCTTTCTTCTTCAGCGTTTGCATCAGGAAGCCTATTATCGCCGCCAGGCGGTCATTTCCTTCCTTTCCACGTTCCCCTTCTTCCACGTCTGGGGGCCAGTCCCACCCTCTTGCTGCAACCCTTCTCCGCAGTAGGGCCCTCTCCCGAAGGTGCCAGCTTCGTTCCCCCACCCCTGTGGCCACGATGCTTCTCCACGAGCGGGGAGGACCATGGCTGCCAAAGTCTGTGGTTCAGAGCTGCTGAGCACGCCGTATGCATGGCATCCTTCTCTCATCTCTCAGGACGCTGTTTTCTAATTGGAAACGAGGGGTGGGGGCTACGGTGCTGCCAGGGGCTGAACTGTGTCCCCCAAGTTTATATTCGGAGGCCCCAACCTCCAGTGGGGCAGGATTTGGAGGTGGC